GTAAGCTAAAGTCTGTCTATTTTTCTCCTCTGTTAGATATGTTACATTACATTGTTCTTGGCCCAAGAAATAGACAGCTGGGGTGTTACAAATCCATATAGTTTACCATGGTGTAGATTGGCTATTAAAAATTTCCCAAGCGGGAAGGCTGCAAATACTCCATAAACCAAGTTTAGTATGCTGAATACCAATCATGGAATTACATTACTTTCCATTGTGGTTTTCCATTTTTCCAAATTAGGGAAAACGGTTAGAACCAAATTTGTTTAGATACAAATACAAACATTTATTTAGTAGCAAAATACACAAGAGTGGTTTTCTCACTTTACACAGTGGGTTCTTTTAAAATCCAAGTATGAGAAAAAAGAAAAGAGAAAAGAAAAAATCCATGTTTGGGAAAAGGAAGATCCCAGTACGTTCACCTGTTGCCAACAAATCCAAATAAGGTTTTGTTTATTTCCAATTACGATGTTCTCACCCAATTTTGGAATCCAAGTTTGACATAATAAAAAAACACATTGGTATGAAGACAAAATCCATGTTTGGAAAACTTGTATTATTTCCATGTTTGGAAAATAGTCAACTTCCACACAAAATCCATATAATACCATATAAAATTCCCAATTAGGAATTTTGCCCAATTTTCCAGTGTATGTCACACTAAGCAGAGTTACCACCTTTGAAGGCTTACCTATAACGGATCTCTGTGAAAACAAAATTGCCATCCATGCCACTGTTGAGAAAGAGATGGAGCGATTAAGAACTGCCAAACTTAAGCTTTGTATATCACCACTTTATGACACAACAAGTTATATTCTAAAAATCTGTTATCTAAATGCAAGGTCACTGCATAGACACATACAAGACATACACGAAGACTTGAACTATTCAAGTTCTGATATCAATGTTTGTGTAGAAACAAGATTCAGTTACCAAGACTCTTGAGACAAATATAACATAATTGGTTACAGTCTTTCAAAATGATAATCCACATAGTCTTGGATCAAGACCTTTTGGTGGTACAGCTGTGTACAGAAAAATCCCATATTCCCCTGGATATCCCTACTGTCATTGTCCAGTATCAATGGGTTAGTATTCTTTTCACTTCTTAATATAGCCCCCTAACCATTGTCCTCCATAAGAAACTTATCACTAGTTGTTACTAATTCTTTTACTAAATCCGTTTAGTTGACCTCTTTGTCATAGGACTATCATTGTAGTACTGTTCTGATTTCAAAAGTCATGTTCCTTTTTTCCCCTTCTCTTCAAACAGACTTCATTCACATGCATCATCTCAAGAGGACATGTGTACATGGCAAAAGCAGTGTCTTGCAGTTCTCCTGAGATGAAGAATACAGCTTAATGAAACAATCTCTCAAGATTACATAAAATCACATCTTTCAAGTAGCCACAGTTAAACCACATTCTGCACAGTGCATGTTACTTCCACCACAAAGTCATACTTTGATCACTTTAATCTGCTCTCTTATGAAAAAGATGTACATGGAAATTTATTCTTCTTTGTGAAAAGTGTATTTTTTCTATACCAACACTGTATTTAATAGATCAACCTCATATATCTACCACATTGCATATATACATCTATATACTGTAGAAACATAACTATCAACAACTGGATGAGGTATGTGAATTCCTCTTTCCTAAGATAACATAAGAAAGTAGTTAGATAAATTATACACATATATCAAAACTTTCTGATGCATTGTTCCACATGTGCTCTCACAAATGGTTCATTTACAAAAAGACCACCCTACCAGCTTGAGTTCTGTGACACTGAAGTCATTGATTGCATTGTGAAATAAAATTCAATTTATCTTTTTACAATAACTGCAGGAACTCTTGCACATGCATTGGCTAGTTTTCATTGTCAATTGTGGACGGACACATGAATTTGTAATTTTTGAGAAGCATCAACAAGTGAGCAGACAATTTCACTATTTGTTATCATAAAAAACAAATTGACATCAGTTTTTCATGCATCTGTCCTGTTAGTGATCATGGATTTAATCATAACATTGTCAGAATAGTAGCTGTAGGTCCACAAGGTGATGGCCACGTGGATCCACAATTTTCCATGCATTTTTTCCGTTATTAGCAGTGAATTTCGTCATAACATTGTCAAAGTAGTCTGTGGACCCCCAGCTAGTTTGACAATGTTGTGACAAAGTATATCATCAATAGAGGACGGATGCATGAAACACTGACATCAACTTGTTAATTGGAGATCAGCTGTCTAACAGGTATTGATGTAACCCCCACAGCAAGGAGGGAAAACTTCCTTTTGTTCATTTCCTAAAGATTACAAAAATCATTCTAAACCTATTTTCATTCTATTTGCTCATTCTCTACTTTCTCATTACCACTAGGGGTGGACCATTCGATTTTTAAGGGGAAATGTCGTTGAATTCAGCAAAAAAAAAGTTCCTAGAGACTGAATAAAAGTCACTACATGGCGTTTAAAAAATTAGAGCCTTATACACTGTCCCAAAAAAATTTTCCTACTGGGAACAACTCACCCACCCACCCACCCCTCCCCTCCCCCTTCAGAACTCAAATGGTCTGCCAGTAGGACATCCTTTTAACCCCATAAAATTGTGTAGATTTGTTTTAGAATTCACTAGGGACATCTCCATGTTGCAGGAGATTGCAAACAATGATTACCCAAAATTTTGCACGTGCCAAGCCTCAAGATAACAGTCCTTGACCTTTGTTGCCCTATGGATCGAAAAACACCAATCAAAATGCCTGATTTTCTAACAGAACTATGAACCCTGTTTCCTCAGTGGTAAGTTCTTTCTATATATTAACCATCAAAACCACCACCCTCTTATTCAAACTGCCAAATTGGTTCAGAGAATTTCTGTCCACCCATGTTCGTGTTAGAGACATGCTGCCAAAGGTGAAAGCTGCTAAAAAGCATTGAAAGACTGGTCTGAGAGTGTCTCAGTTAGTCAGATGTCCACAAGTAATAGTTCCACATGAGTCTGCCCTCTAATACGCCAGGCAAAATAAACCAGTTTGCATTGCCCCCAAAAAACCACGCTTCCATGATTGCCTGTGCATCAACTATCCCCACCAAGACAAAACAAAAAGAACAGAATGGACTACAGCACCCTGGTTTAGCAGGCTGAAGAGAGCACAAAGGAAGCCTTTTGCTATTCAAAGAACAAGCAACCATTACTAAATGAAGGTCAAAATAGCCACACACCAATTAAGTTGCAGAAGTTCACCTTCACCAAAGAATGAGCAAAACTTGTCAAAAATGACATGACTAATATCAGCCAACCTCTTCCTACTGAATATAAATTTCAGTTCTAGCCACCTGCTGCAAAGTCATACCCAAACCTAACCCTTGACTAAATCAAGCAATTGTCACACAATGGGGACTTGCTTACCTTCCAAGGAAAACTACTTTACCAAGCTGATTATACCCTTATTGAAAAAAAAAACCTATTTTTGGAGATACCACAGGAACAATAACTGTCAGTCTGTGGAGAGAATTCATTCGAGTGGTACAGGTAGGAAAAGTGTACCAAATTGCTCCTCTGCAAGTTAAAACCTGGAATGGTCTAGAGAGGTTGTCTGGAAATTCAATGTGACGGCCTCTTCAAATGAAAATTTTCTTTTATGTTTACATAGCTCCACTGATAGAGGTCACAAACATCTAATGCCTAACCAGAATCTGTAGTTTATCATTAACATGAAAACCTTGGTGCTAAATGTCCATTGTGATTGATTCCAAACTTTGAGGAAGTAATACATTGTAACTCTGCAACAAGGTGGTTTTGCTTTTATTAGAATATGATACTTATGTTTGGTAGCAATACATGTGTATTAGGCCTTTATTTGTATACTACCATTCCTTTTCAGTTAATTGTTTGGTTTTAGTTAACTCATCACAATATTGATATAGATAAAAAATTATACTCTTTCGATGAGCTGAAAACAGCAAGGTGCCTTTTCATGTATCACCAGCGCAAAAGTAATAACTCAAATACAAATGTTAACTAGGCTCAGCAACAATAGATCACACTAGCAACCAATCAGATGGACACGAAGAAGGTTGTGCTAATCGATACACACTGTATCTGACCAAAATAAAAAAAGCTTGGATATTTCTATGTAAATTGATAAACACTAACAAAAGTGCATTCCTGAGAGAGAATTCGGCTAAAGGACAAATTTTGATAGCACACACTTCACTTAGTCAATACTTTCAAATTTACCTACTGTCAGATTGTTGATTTCCTGTGAATGTTTCTCTCATGTATACATCACAAATAAGTAATAACATGATTTCTCATGTGATAAGCACTTGTAAATTTTTCAAATACTTCAAACTGCACACACCCTATGACTTCATAACATTTTTTGTTCGTGAAAAATTTACTTGTGCTTATTTAGAATGCTTAGATCAAACACTTAGATCAATTTAGCTTAAACTTTGTTGAGTTTTTATGAAGACAGTTCAATACAAGTGACATTTGTTAGGTCTATAGTTAGAGCTACTTGATGTGGATTAGATAACCATCAGGCATCCTTGGAGACCCAAGGTTAAATCAAATCTGTAGACCTCCTAAAACCACAGTCTTAACAGATCAGTTCCAAACTGTCACAGTCATTCTGCATTTTGATTGGCATTTTGCTCTTGACCAACTGAAAATAAAATTTTGTGCCCTGATGGACAAAAGAAACCTATGCTCAGCATTGTCTTACTTTACATGTATGTATTGTCCACAATTAGTCATACATTCAAACTAAATCAAGCTCCGGATGGCTTCTAGTGTAGACTAAATCATTTCTCAAATGTCCTGGACCCATCTACAAAGTTTTTTCCTTGTGTTCTGGTACACAAAATGTGAATAATACTCATATGAAATGCTTCCTTAGAGTTAATTTCACATTTTTGTTAATATCACATTTTCACTGTGGGAATAGGTGTGGCGTCTGCCACGGCGACAGTAGGCAATGTTCGTGTAATGAATGCCCACCTCAGAAAAGAAAAAAGGCATCTAAGAAAAAAGGCATCTAAGTCAACAGCCTCCAGTCAACAGCCTGCAGATACGTCGCACGACGATCTAAAGAAAAAGTACGAGTCACTGCAAAAGGACTACAAAAGAGTGGGTCAGGCCTTCCAGAACCAGCAGGAACAGAACCAGGAGCTGACGGCATTGCTAGAGGAACGCAAGAAAGAGGCTGAAGAGCTAGCCAACCTTGTGCAGAACAAGGACAAGGTCGTTAATAACCTCGAGAGGCACCTCTTAAACGCAAAGAAGGTCATCGCAGAACTCCGAGCGGAGGTGCGACGCAGAGACCAACCCACGCCACAAGAAGACCCACCCACATCACAACAGCAACACCAGCAGACTGCAGACATTCGCGTCATCACCCACAGCCTGGCCAACATACACGAACGATATGAACAGGTTCTCCAGACGATGAAAGAGAACAGATGCAGCAGCATGGCCTGTGCCTTCCCTCTTGCAGGCTGTCCTCGGAGCACACTACAAGACTTCGTGGCGATAGCAGAACTGAAAAAGGTCGACTCGAGGGGAACCGGACCTCGTCCTCCACGACCAAGAAGTTAAATCGGTGCGAGATCTGGAGGTTGTCTGTCGCAAAAGACTTCGGCGCTACATCCCGGTCATGAGCAACATGAGGAGAGAGGGGCAGCTGTTGCCAATGAAGTTCGAGGCACGATTCTACGAGTGAAGTATCTTGTATATTTCACCACTCACAAAACGGCTCCTTTAGGAGCCACCAAATCTATGAAAGGCTATTCTTGTCAATGTAGTGCACATGTTGGATGTTGTATCAAGCAAAAACCGAGAGAAAACATTAAGGTTTGTGTTAACGTTTAACCGACCAGCTACCGACAGGTTACCGACACATTACCAACAGTCGGCCAACTGTCGGCCAACAGGTAGCCTATAAACGGCTGACAATCGGCCAACTGTCAGCTGACTGTCGGCTGACTGTCGGCCGACAGTTGACTGACAGTCAGCCGACAGGTTTTTTGGGGAGCTCTTCCTCACAATTACCGAAAAGTCAATCAACCTACAAACTTCAGAACTCAATTCCACTTCATTATCCAAACAAAATCATGACTGAATCTATCAGGCCACTATGGGAGATGATGCTGAGGTTTTTCAGTTCCTAACATCCTCAGGTTACATGTGCAACCTTTGTTGTCAAAATGAGACCTTCATAACAAAGTTTGGCCAATAATCCTCATCTTGAAAATGAACATTTCAGGACTATTGTATGCTTGTTATCTTGTTTTATTGATGAACAGGAACAATATTGAAAACCATCTAACCATAATTGGCTACTAGCTCTTCTGATAGAAACTCAATAAGACACCAGACACTAAAAAGTAGCTCAATTTTGTAAGCCACATATGTACGCAATGCAGACCTGTTTTTAAATTATTATTATTTTACAATAAATATAACTTCACGATTATTTAATTCCGTTTCAGTAAGTTTTGTTTAGTTTACTCTTTTGGAACTTTCAAAATATGATGACACATCCAATTAGCTCTTAGGTCATAATTCCTTTTTTCCAGGGAAAAGTCCACTTTCCTTCCATGGATGTGGGTGGAAAAGTTTGTCATAATTTAAACTCATGGACTGAAGAAAATAAATGCTGGGTGTTTCTTCTTAGCAATCTTTTCAAGAAAATGTTTGGAACTGACCTTTTAACCTATTATTTTGAGAAAGATATAGAACTAAAATTGATGATTACAAAACATTAATTTTTTTAGTGCTGTCATGAGTCTTGGGAAAAGCATTTCTCTGGAGAAAGTCCAGAGCCACAGGACAATGCCAAACATCTTTGTCATCCCAGAATCCATCTTAGTTCACATGCCAATCTTTATCCGCAACAGCCCCCACCCAAAAAAATAACATTTGATATTCTTGATTCAACTTCATCTAACATCTACCAAGATGAAAACTGTGATTTTGCACCTATCATCAGCCAAACATCCCCAAAGCCTATTAGTGACACTTCTGTTGTTGGTGAAGATGATGATGATGATGATCCTGCAATGCCACATTAATTTGCAGTTAAAGCTGCAATGGCACCTGATATTGTACCCGACCCTGTACCCATAAAGCATACTTTTACCAGGATCATTAAGCCGCCTACTTAGTTCAAGGACTTTATATGAACTATGGAGATTTAAAAGGACACAGATTCGCTGAATTCTACCGCAGCCAGTATGGACAAATTATGAACGTTATTCACACAAAACACATCCAAACTTAATAATTTGTAGACAAACTTAACAAAAAGCCAGCAAACTTAATTAAATGCATGCAAACTTTAAAGAGCGCTGACAAACTTAATGAAGGACATGCGAACTTAACAAAATGAGTACAAACTTAATAATTTGTGGACAAACTTAACAAAAAGCCTGCAAACTTAATTAAATGCACGCAAACTTTAAAAAGCGCTGACAAACTTAATAAAGGACATGCAAACTTAGCAAAATGCATACAAACTTTATGACAGGCACGTAAACTTTAAAAATAGCATGCAACGTTGACATGAAACGTATACAAAAAATGAAACAAAGTTAAAATGAAATACACAAACTTAAAACGAGACAAACTTAATAAAACATGCACAAACTTAAAATGAGACATGCAAACTTAATAAAACTTACACAAACTTAAAATAAGACAAACAAACTTAATAAAACGTGCATGTCACGTTGCTGTACAGAGAACGCTTTAGAACATTATATGACCTTTTGCTTTCTTAAAACGTAGCCTTGTTTCGTTTTGATTGCGTGATTATAAAACATCCTTTTTTGGCTAGCTGCACAAAGAGTTGTTTCAGTTAAGTTTCCTTTACGTCATAGAGGTATATTAGGCCTTTTTTCATGCGAATATTTTAGTTTTAGGGAGTTGTCCCTGGAGCAAAGAGGAGTTTTATAGGAGTCTTACGGAGTTTTTTTTTACAACTTGGAGTTTTCTCCTCCCTGGAGCCAAGATCAGATGTAAGTCACGATCGTTAGTTGTGTTTTCTATCGTCAGATTTATAGTTTAGCTCGTTTCCTTAGCTTAGACAGATAGTGCATTCCTTTTTAGCTTTCACTGCAATTGTTGTAACAAGTCAGCTACCCTGATTACATGATTTAGTCCAATAAACGAGTGTAAGAGTCTGCTGTCCGTCCCGTACTTCACTGTGGTTGACCTGGTGGACTCAATTGCGCTGCACCCCATGTCTGCTGTGCTGGGAACGCGACAGTAAAAAGTCTGATTGTCAAAGACACAAAGGAGTCAAAAAACAGATAGAGGTAAGCTGTATCGTAGAGATTAAGTAAATGGCCCCAATCATGAATGGAGCAAATAAAGGAGAACCACCAGTTCACCAAAAGATCGACGATTGTGATCCTGAACTAAAGAGTAAGAACTTTGTCTACAAGGGCTTAAGAGAATGCTGTCGAGGAGAAACATCCCGAGATAGCTTGCGTGTATAGATTGCTTAAAGAAACAATGCAATCTGCTGAGGAGCTTAGTGAAGGATCAGATTTCGAAATTACCTTGCGTGATCTGCGAGTATCTGAGGAGCTGAAGATGAAAATAGATGAATTGCGAGACCTTTACATGCAAGACAAAAACAAATACCTTAGAGACAAAGAACCACTTCTAACTAGCAAGAGCCTAACTCTACCAAGCTTACAAACTAGTAGAAGAAATAAAGGGTAGACAATCTGACACATTGTTGGAGACAGGATCGGGTCTATCTTATCAATCTAGCTGCAATAAAGTCTCATCATGCGCATCTACTACAAGCAACGCAGCCAAAATGAAAGCACTTGCTGAAGCAGCAGTGCGAGAGGGCACAGAATTAAAAAAGGGTATTGCCGCAATGGAACAGAAGCGCAGGAAATGCGAAGCTGGGATCGAGCAAACATGCTAAAAGAAAGATCGTGATTGTGCAAAAGCTAAAAGCAATTGAACAGACGATGGAGGAAGAAGATACAGGCAACAAAATTGAAATTGCGGGTATTCCAAACACAAAAGGTGGAGAATGAACATTCACATGGCTTAACTCAACGTCACAAGAAACCCCCCAGCTGGGAACCGATTTGACAAAACAGAAAACCCTTTCAAAGTGCCCGAAAAGCCGCCTGCAAAATCGTGTGCTGCTGCTATTGAGCAGTCTATGGGCTGAGTTGGAGGCACTTCAGAAGCGCGGCTGCAATAACAAGAGTGCTATTAGAATGCATGAATAAAACAGCCCCATTCAACAACTTAGAGAACGCAAAACTGCGAGAGTTCGCTGACCTCTGCACGGACATGGAGAGCCAAATGAGCTATCTGCCCGGCCTTGCTTGCCTAATCTTTCCTAATGCAATACAACTAATTCCTGAAAGGCTGCCCCTATTTTTATGTCAAAAATGGGAGAAAGAAATCTCTAAACACACGGAGTGCTTAGCCTTCCATGCTAAATCTCTTGATGAGGGGACCGAATGGCTTCTTGCAGCCGGACTTTGCTACTGCTGCCTGTCAAAGGGACACATGGCCAGTGACTGTAAGGAGAACATAGAGTGCAGCATATGCAAGGACAAAGTCATGCAGCTCTCCTTCACAGAGAGAGAACAAGGCCCCCTACCCAAGGTGGAGAAGCCATTGACTCAAAATGCAGATCGATGTGTCATGCTATAGAAGGCGGTGCCTCTGTAGAGTGCGTGACATGTTTTGTTGAGTTCATGAACCACAAAGGGTGTCGGAAAAAAAAACAGAAAAGCATGTGCTCGGAGTTTTCGAATAAATACAACCTTGTGTTTAATTAATCTGGTGATTTGAGTGTGTAACATTGGCGACCCTGCCAGGACTCGACCGAAGAGGCTTATCATCGACGAAGAACTGCCTTGGGTTGTGAAGGACAAAGTAATTGGCACGCTTGGTTGATTCGTCGAGCGCGAGTTGGTTGTGGTCGATTGCTGTCGACGGCGGACTGATCTTGACGTAAAGTGTCGCATTTCTTTTGTGAACGGCTGATTGCACTATTGGTGAGTACGAAAGATTATTTTTGGAAGTATGATGGATACCGAGAGTCTGCAGATCGAAATTCAGGCCGCGTTGTGTTCCTTGAGCGAGGAAAGGCTTAAAGAAGTTTGTAGTGGGCTGAACATTACTGTACCGCCTGAGAGCAAGGGAAGGTTGGTTTTATCCGAGCTCTAAATAAATACCTCGAAACGGAAGAATTAGATAATGAGAAGCTCAAAGTGTTGTCGTCGTCTCTAAGTATGCAGGGAAAATTTGTACCGAACAGAAAACGGAACCGCCGAAAGCTTCTGAAAATAGTAAAGCGACCGTCAAAATAGAGCAAAATCCCGTGGTGTCAATTTCAAAATTCAAACGCGACTTCAAGATTTCGGGCCAGATTGGCGACGTGTCGCAGAAGGATCGTTTGAGTTTTTCCTCGCTAGTGCATCAAATTGAGAATGGTTTAAAGAACGACTATACAGAGGATGAAATTAAAGAGGCTGTGATAAAAGCGATAAATCCGGCGTTAAGCCTAAGAAGTTATTTGGAGGGTAAGGTAGATTTAACACTGGCCAAATTGAGGAGAATTATGCGTTCTCATTATCAGGAGAGAACAGCAACCGAACTATATCATCAGTTGAGCTCAACTGTACAACAGCCAAAGGAAAAACCTCAAGAATTCTTGATCCGCCTTCTCGATTTGAAACAGAAGATCTTGTTTGCATCTCAAGAAACTGACTCGGACCTGAAATATGATCCTACCTTAGTACATGGCATGTTTGTCCATAGCTTTTCCCTTGGCCTGCAAAGTGAGAATATCAAGATCGAAATGAAGCCTTACTTGGAAAAGAAATTTATAAGCGATGAAGAACTATTCGAGAAATTAAATGTGTGTTTCAGTGACGAACTGGAGCGATCACAGAAATTCGGTTCACAGCTAACCCCAAGGTAAATGCTGTTCAAAAGGGAGGGACAAGCAGGAGACAAAGAATAATGGGGTGGAGGAAGGTCTCATGAAAGAACTAAGGAGCTCAAGGCAGAAGTGGCCGCAGTCAAAGAGAGAGTTCGGGCCCCACTCCGGGCTCAAACCCCCCACACACAACAGCCTATGAGACAACCCCACTGTGTAGGACCTGCCAACAAAGTGGGAATGGATGGCCGTGCAACCATTGCTTCAGGTGTGGGGCGAGTGGCCATTATGTACGCGAGTGTAATGCCCAATTCAGCCGACGCTCTCCGGCAGAATCTCAGGAAACGGCCAGAGGTCACGCCCATGGGACAGGGTGTGACCAGGCAAGAAAATCAGTCCCGTTACGTGCAGTGTGGAAAACAAAGCACAGACCATGTACCACTTAACCGCTGCGGAGCCTGTAAGATCAATAGATATTATTCAAAAGAATGTCAAGTAAAATACAGAACTGTGCATAAACCAGTTTGCATGGCTATACAGGAACTTGAGAAACAGAAAGCAGCCGGAGATGATGGCGATGATTTGAACACGACGTTTCCCTGCCACCTGACGCCAAGGCAGCAGCTCGGACTGACAAAAATCGTGGGACGGAGGTGCGTGGTAAAATGCCTAATTCAAGGAAAGGAAGTGGAGGCATTATGGGATACAGGTTCCCAGGTTTGTGTTGTGTCAAGGAAGTGGCAACAAACTCACTTACCGCTGGAGGTGTTAAGAAATGTTGAAGAGTTGTTGGGAGCAGGAGAAGAGTTGAATTTGGAAGCGATGAATGGGACAAACATTCCATTTGACGGTTGGATTGAGGTCGGGTTTAAGTTGGCTGGAGATGATACAACTGCTCATGAGCTGACAGTTCCAGTACTGGTGGGACAAAAGGAACAAGAGTACCCAATCATTGGCTTCAATGTTATAGAAGAAGTCCTCGCTCAACATGGTGGAAACCACCAAGCGGCAAGTAACATCATTCAGCAGTCATTCCCTTCAATTCATCATACTCGCGTAGGTACCCTGATCAATCTGATCCAGTCAAGAACACAGGATACCGGTACTGCAGCTGTTAAAGTCGGAAAGAGAGATGTTATGCTGCCAAAAGGAGAGGCAACGACAGTTAAGTGTCAAACTCACCTCGGACCAGTTCCAGAGGGGATGCCAGTAATATTTGAGCCCAAGGAAGACAGCGAGCTCCCAGACGGACTGGAATTGGGCGAGGAGCTTACTAAAATAACCCCGGGAACCTCTAGTCACGTGGCCGTCGTGGTCCAAAACAATACAGACAGAAACATCTTGTTAAAGCGCAGAACAGAATTGGGCCGGATACACCTGGTAAAGTCAGTTCTACCAATTCCAAATACTCCCCGACTCGTACTCTCGAGGAGACGAGGATTTTACCCTGAAGCTACCTTGCATCCTGGTCAGGAACAAGATGGATGGGAGCCACCAGTTGACTTGAGTCAGCTAGAAGACAATGAACAATTGATCGTCCACGAAATGCTACGGCAAGAAGCTGGTGCCTTTGCAAGAAACGACGATGAGGTTGGCTGCGTGGAGAACTTGGTGCTTGATCCCCAGTTAAAGGACAATGAGCCAGTACAGAAGAACTATATCTCCATCCCCAAGCCACTCTATGGGGAAGTGAAAGAGTACTTAGAAGACTTGATTAATCGAAATTGGATCTGCAAGTCCCGTTCGGCTTACTCCTCACCCATGGTCTGTGTTCGCAAAAGGATGGAAGTCTGCGACTTTGTATTGATTATCGAGAATTGAACAAGAAAACATATCCAGAACGACAGCCGATTCCCCGTATACAGGATATCTTAAATGGCCTAGGCGGCAACAAATGGTTTACAGTTCTGGACCAAGGGAAGGCCTACCACCAAGGCTTTATGACAGAAGAAAGCCGCCCCTGACTGCATTCGTGACCCCTGGGATTGTATCAATGGAATAGAATACCGTTTGGGCTAATGAATGCACCGGCGGCATTCCAAAGGTGCATGAATGAATGTCTAGATGGCTTACGTGACAACATCTGTATTCCCTACCTGGATGATGTCTTGGTGTATAGTAAGACCTTTGAGCAACACGTTCAGGATGTCCAACAAGTCCTGCGTCGACTGCAGGAACATGGGATAAAGTTAAAGCCATCAAAGTGCAAGTTCTTCCAACGACAAGTTAGATATTTGGGGCGGGTTGTTTCCGGTGATGGCTACTCTCTAGACCCAGAGGACACGGCTGCCGTACACAACTTGGCGAAACAGAAACCAGCAACAGTGGGTGATGTGCGTAAACTGCTAGGGTTCCTGAGTTACTACAGGCAATACATCCAGGATTTCTCACGCATAGCTAAGCCCCTGTACGATCTAATGGCTGGCCCTGATCGATTGGCTAATAATCATAAGGTAACATGGACAGAGGAACATCAGAAGCGGCTTGACATGCTGGTCGACCGACTGACTTCTCCTCCAGTGATGGCATTTCCCGACTTTACGAAGCCATTTGTACTTCACACAGACGCCTCGCAAGAGGGACTTGGAGCTGTATTGTATCAAGAACAGGACGGGAAGCTCAGAGTTCTAGGTTATGCCTCTAGGACACTAACTCCAGCAGAGAAAAATTACCACATGCACGCTGGAAAATTGGAGTTCCTTGCCCTCAAATGGGCAGTAACTGAGAAGTTCCGTGATTACTTGTACTACTCCACCTTCTTCACTGTTTACACCGACAACAATCCACTAACTTACATTCTGTCATCAGCTAAGTTGTCTGCAGTAGGGCACCGGTGGGTGGCAGAACTGGCAGATTTTAATTTTAACATCAAGTATCGGCCTGGCAAATCTAACATTGACGCTGGATGTACTATCCCGCCTACCGCTAGATTTCAGTGCATACATGGAAACCTGTATTGCAGAAATGGAAAAGGACGCAATTTGTGCAACAAGTCAAGCAGTGATCCATCAGGAAACAGACGCCACACCCTGGGTGGCAGCAGTTTCAGCAAGAGTTGGCATTGCTCACGCAGAACCGGGCGTCACAGATTTGGTTTTTCGCCAACTTACGTTAGAAGAAATATTAAGGGCTCAACGGGAAGACCCCGACATCTCACGAATCCTGGCCTACAAGAAACGGGGATATCCCCATCAGGAGGAGAGCGGAAAAATGAGACTCATACAACATCTTGCTACTTGAGAGCATGGAATAAACTCCATATATCAGCGGACGGGATCCTGTGGCGCCAAACTAAGAGTCGATTGCAGCTAGTATTACCCACAAAGTTTAAACAGTTGGTTTACCAAGAACTTCACATTGAAATGGGTCATCTGGGTGCAGATCGAGTGGTGGACTTAGCGAGATCTAGGTTCTATTGGCCTTACATGCAAGAGGAAATCGAGTATTTCATCGCCAACAAGTGTCACTGCATCCAGCAAAAGAAGCCCCAAATCTCCCTAGAGCACCAATGGAGAGCATTACGACGACTGCCCTTTTTTGAGATGGTGTCTATAGACTTTCTTCATTTGGAGAAAAGCCAACGGGGATTTGAATACATTTTGCTGATAGTAGATCACTTCACAAGGTTTGCACAGGCCTACCCAACCCGAAACAAGACAGCACGAACGGTGGCTGAAAAGATTTACAATGACTTTGTACCACGATTCGGATTCCCAGCCCGTATACACAGTGATCAAGGAGGAGAATTTGAGAACAATCTCTTCCA